CCCCCCCCCCGCCGCGTCGCAAATCATTAACCGGCTGGGAAGGCCGAGCGGTCCGGCAGCTGCCGCCGCGGCCGCTCTTCGTCTACTTTGTCTCTCTGTGAGGAGTCGACGCATGAGCAAGAAGGAGGGCAGCTTCGCCGCGTCGGCACGGCACTGTGGAGGGCAAAGCACCTCGGACAAACATGAAATCAAAGTCAAGGGGAGGCGGGCAAGCGAATCCAAAAAAAAGGCAGAAGTGCAAGGTGGTTTTTATTTCCAGTCCGAGCGTTGATCTAAAAAGTTAAAAGAGGGAAACTATTTAAAACAGTTGATGTCATTGACGGCAAAAATTCTGTTTCATTTTTGTACTTAAGTACATTTCAGTCGGTTAGCAGGACTTCTAACATGCAGTCCTTTTTTTTTTTTTTTTTTTAACACCAATATCTGCACTTTTACGCCAGGACTGAGCCGATTTACCACCACTGCTTTCACGTTTGTTGAAAGTTGAGAGATTATTGTTGAGGTGTCAATCAAATAAGGCACCGGGACGTTAACGAGGAAGTAGAAGAAGAAAGGAAAAACAAAAAGAAAGACAAAAAAAAAAGAAAATGGGGGTGGGGGTAGTCATGTGGATCCCTTTCTGTCCTCTTGGCGAAAGCTACAAAGTCAGCAAAGTGCTAAGTTGGGAGCGTGCCCGCCCCCCTTCAAACGTCAACAAACTTGATGGACCAATCGGAAGACAGGCGGCCAATTTCACAACTTCCTGTTTGGGAGCATCACACGCGTGCGTCTTTCCCACCCGCCGGCTGAACACACCCGTGCGCACGCATGCACGCACGCCCTGCCAAATGTTGAGATTGCGAGCAGACGTTCCTTCACACTTGGCTCGAGTTGCCTTTCATGTCGGACGCGTCACCGGAAACGGGAGTGTCTTGGTGGATGTCACCGGAGTTGGGCGTGTCCCCAGTGCGGCGTGTGTTTTTGATGAGGGACATGTCACGGGAGTCGAACGCGTCTTTGAGGTCGGACGTGACACTGGAAATGGCCGTATCTCGGATGCGGGGCGTCTCGCTGGAGTCCAAGTTTTCACTGGAAAGGGACTCGTCATGAACAAGGGGCGTGTCTTTGATGTCAGGCACATCGCGAGAAACAGGCGTGTCTTGGATGCGGGGTACGTCACTTGAATTGGGCGTGTCCCAAGTGCGGGGTGCGTCTTTGATGAGGGGCACGTCACAGGAGAGGGACGTGTCTTTGATGTTGGACGTGACACCAAGAATGGGCGTGTCTTGGACGTGGGGTGTTTCACTGCAGTCCAAGTTCTCACTGGAAAGGGACTCGTCACGGACAAGGCGTGTGTCTTTGATGTCAGGCGCGTCACTAGAAACAGGCGTGTCCTGGATGCGGGATTTATCACTTGAATTGGGCGTGTCCCGAGTAGGGGGTGCGTCTTTGATGAGGGACGTGTCACCGGAGAGGGACGTGTCTTTGATGGCAGACACGTCACTAGAAATGGGTGCGTCTTGGAGGCGGGGCGTGTTCACATGTCGAATGGAGCTTGCAACTAAACCCGATATGACATCACGGCAGGCGTCGTCGTCGTCTGACTGTTCCGTCACGGCGGCATTCGGCGTCTGTCCGTTTGAGAATGATGACGTCATCACAAAGACGGGCTGCGCGTCATCGTCGTCGTGGCGACGTCTCGTCCGCGCGTGCCCCTTGAGGGGCGGCTGCGGCGCCTCCTCTCCCGAGTCCAGCGTGTGCCAGCGGGCCA